AAGTGTTATAAATACTCGTTTTAATCTCCAATTTACAAAAATGCATTCTTGTAGATAAAGTGATGGATCTTGCGCAAAAAATACTGGAAGCGCTTTGGATAAATCGCTAAATCCCTAAAAATGAACAGAGAGGATGAGCGTTACTACCACAAGTGATCCTGCAGGAATTTTCAGGATAAACATATAGGAAACAGGAGTAGGAGTTGAGTCAGGCCAGATCCGTTTATGGCGAGTCCATTGTGTTTCGACGTTGGATATTTGTTGTCCATAAAATCCTAAATTTCTCTTTGGCTGGGATATATGTTCGAAACGGGATGCATGACACCGAAGCGTGTCAGCAAGAGAGAAAATGGGTAAGATTTTGGGAAAGCTTAATCAAATGAATAAATAACACAATTAGATATGAAAAATTCAAAAATGGTTGACTTCGATTTTTAGCTTCTAATCAAAAATCGTTAATGTTTTCAAAAAATGTTTTGCCCCCAAAATCGAAATCACGAGTTATTCGTTTGATACTTATTCAACTCATTAATCCACTAATTGTTTGATTAGACACTGTCTTGTGCTCCTACTTGGTGAGTGCTTCAACAGGTAGCTCTTCTAACTTATGTAGTTCCTTATAGCTCCTTTGGGTGCTGTTTCACAAAAGCTATTAGTTTTCTTTGCTAGTTGCTCTTTTCCCCTTTTCCTTAGAATATTTCGCTTTGGATTTACCCGCTAAAATGTAACATTGTAAAGAATGTATGTATCCTTTTTATCATTTCTCCATATATGCATACTCGTACATATATGTCTACCAAAACTTCAACCAAAATTCTTTTTCAAGCCCAATTTCCCCCTGCAATCTGAACCTTTTGCGTCATCACAGCTATTTTGAGCTTGAGGAAGCCCACATACAAGCTTCATATTGCCTAGTAATAACGAGCAAATTGTTTGTCGAGTGGTAACGAATCTGTTTATTTGGCTATTTAGAGATGCTTGACACTGTCTTAGCTATAAATGGTTAAGTAGAAAGACGATAACATTGCTTCTCATCTTTATTAATCCGGAAATCCAGGAGCGATGCTTGTCATGACGAAGATCTTGTCATGATTTTGTTTAAGGGACGTATGTATTTACACATAATTGCTCCTTAAATGATATATTAGAGAACCATATATTCTGTTGTACTTAGTCTTATTTACAAACACTACCGTACACCTACAGTATGCACTCATTTACTAATTATCTCATTTTCTACAAACAGATCAATTCCGTTTATTGTTCGCAACTTCATTTCCTACATTTTCCCTTCGCCACGTGTTTTGGATGCATATCGATTCAAATTTCATAAAATAATTTTAGTCCCAACATCTATTAATATCTACTCACCATGGGCAACGCTAAATCAGTTGACCTCAAAGAAGTGAAGGATGAACCCGCTAAACGTAGGCCAAAGCTAAGTCAAGTTGAGCGCAAAATCTCACCGAACAACAAAAAACTATCCAGGTAAGTATTGATTTTTTGATCAATCAATGACTTTAGATACCATCACTTTTTACCAAAAATTGGAAAATCACTGTAGGATTTTCTAATAACTTTCAAAAAAGACACTATCTATCATTTTCATAGG